CACAGCTTGGGTTGGGCCGGAAAACGCAGCTCAGTGCCACTGCGTAGGCGATTCCCATCTCTCAGCCTCGCCTACGTGTTCAACTCTTGCCCCCTCACCATGTCGCGAAAGTAGCCCGTTTTCGCGAGGCGCGTCACCACTAATACTAGAGGTAGCGGTAGTAACAGATCAATTCAGCCGCGCCGCGCCGCGCCGCGCCGCGCGCGCCGCCAAAGCCAACTGCGATGCAGCCGCGAGCGTGGCTTGCAGTCTCCGCCGCTCTTTGGCTTGCTGCCTTCATCTCTCCATGCCACGCGCAAGTCGTGATCAACGCCACGCAAGGTCCGTCCCTCCTCGCACAATGCTTACCACTACTAGTGCAGTAATATGATCGTACCGGAATGCTTCTCTAGTCTGTACCTCCCTTCCTCCTCGCAGCCCGGGCCTGATAGCGAAACTATTACCATGCGATTAATAGCAATAAGTGCGCAAAGACATGTAGTAGGCACGCATGGTTGGACTGCCACGACAGGTCGGCGGTAACTTACTCATCCGACAATTCATGGTATACCGCAGGTAGGTAATACCGAGATGAGGGAGTAACAGCGAGCAATGCTTCTCAGCCTCCCTTTCCGTGCCTCATTCAAACCTCCCTGTGGAACTCTCATCACCCGGTGTTGCACTGCCACAATGTGACTGAATTGCACTCGTCGCGCAACGAGGGGGGTGAGTTCCTGTGCGTCCTTTCCCCGTTCCGAACCGCAGCAGGTGGATGGGGAGTCTGGTGTCCAGTACCTGGGTCTTGTCGCGGCAGTTGCATGCGCCGCCAGGTACCTCCTGGGATGGACTTTTGAGTCGACTCAAAAAACGCAGCAGGTGGTTGGGGAGTCGAGTGTCCAGTATGTGGTTCTTGACACGGCAGTTGCATGCGCCGCCAGGTGCCTATGATGGATTATACGATCTAGAACCCTTGCGTTTAGCGTATCTACGCTAGCGTGTACACGCAATACGCTAAACGCTAGCAAATACGCAATACGCAGCCAGAAATTATTCCGGGCAGCCCAGAAAAGTAAAATCGCAGAAAAGATGCGGATTTTCTTGGTGAGCATTTCGCCGAAGTCGAAATGCAAATCCGCGGTCTACGCAAGCTGGGATCTGACTTCGAAGTTTTCCGGCACATCTAGCTATTCAAATGTCGAATTTCAGGTCCGATCTAGGCATTTGAACCCATCCCCTCTACCGCATTGAAAACCATCTTCTCTACGAACTCCAACCTATCAAAATCGAACCCCCAACAAATCTCACGCTACTTACCAGCCAACCCAACTCCTAACCCGTCATTTCCTACCTCGAATTCCCGCTTGCAGCAGTGTTCCCGCACACTCCAACTTGAACAGCCTCTCCAACATTACTCCCTACAGCTATGATGTCTATTCCCCGCCCCACCCCACCCGCCGATCGGACTCAGGAAAATGCTAGGGCACGTCTTAGTGATATGTTTTTTCCACCGATAGGGGTAATTTTTTCCACCCTGCCCGGAAAGTTTTTTTCCCTGCCCGAAAAAGCGTATGCCTGATCCGACCCTCAAGCGTATGGCGTATACACGCTAGCGTATATACGATACGCATATATACGCTAAACGCGTATAATCCATCATAGCCAGGTGCTTCTTGGGGTACTTCGTGCGCGCATGCGCCAGATGCTTGCTGGCGACGAGTGGTGAGTTTCTCCGTTGTCACCAAATATAATGGTAAGTGCATCATATTGGAGACATGTGCTAATTGGGTGTAGAGTTGGTGTAGCGAGTGTTATTCAATCTGCATGTGGGGTAGTTGGGTTATAGAGAGTAGCGAGAAGTTGGTAGCATGGGGGGTTACAGGGCGCTTCGGGGACAATTTCAGGAACCTCGGGAGACAGGCAATCTGGCGAGGCCCACTCCGAGGCCCAGGCGGCTCGAGCTCAACCCAGCACACAGAGTTACTCGCGACTGGGCAGCCAAGCACAAATAGCCTAGCATAGCATAGCAAACCTGTTCTCTCGTCTTGTTCGCCTCATATAGTGGTCTAGTGTTACCGTTCTAAAGCTACTTAAGCTAGGTGACTGCGCCACTGTGGGCGGCCTCCGTGTGGGAGCCTGTTTCTCTCACAAGACGAGAGAAAGAGATCGGCAGTATGGACTGCCATGAGCTGCGCTGGCAGCGGACGTATTCGCGTCGGGAGATACTGCCGTCGCGAAGGATGCGCTCAAAGGAGCGGGGAAGATCGCCAGGTCGCTCGCCTAGCAGAGAGGCGGATCGGGCGGATTGGATGGCGACCAGTGACGGATGGCGCGGTGAAGGCGACCTCGGCCTGCAGACGAGATCGGCGCCAAGACCCCAGCCATCGAGGAGCGATCCCTGGGATCTGGCAAGAGGCCAGCGGGGCGCGGGAGTAAAGCGTCAGGAGGATGCAGATGAGACGGACTCGCTGATGTCAGCAAACGAGGCCGACGGCGACGAGTCGGCGGAGGATTATCCAAAGGACGCGGGAGCAGATCACTCGCCGGGCAGCATGCCCAAGGCAGGCGAGAGGCGTCACGGAGAAAAACGCGAAGAGCGAGGAAAGGCGACGGGATCAGATCGCTCAGCAGATGAAGTGCGTGAGCGTGGCGAGAGGCGACGCGGGGGCGCGGATGCAGATCGCGCGCCAAAGGAGGTGCGCGGGAGTGGCGCGGGACGCCAGGGGAGCCGCGCCGATGCAGATCGAGCACCAGAGGAGGTGTGCGGGAGGGAAGCAAGGCGCAGCAGGAGCAAAGCAGCTGAGCCGTTGTCAAAGGAACGAGGGGAGGAAGAGAAGAGCCGTGCAGTGCCAGCAGGAGTGTACCGTTCGCCTGAGCCAGGACAAGGCCGTGCGGGCAGGAGGCGTATGGCGATGGGAGGAAGGAGATCGCAAGAATGGTCGGAAGAGGAGGCGGACGAGGACTACGAAGGAAAGTGCGTTCAGCACTCGCCAGCAAGGAGGCGGCGGCCGGGGGGGGAGGGGCGAGGCAAGGGTAGCGAGCGTTCGTCACCCAGGGCCTCAGGGGACCAGGCGGAAGCGCGCCGTGAGAAAGAAGAAAACCTGCGGGCAGAGAGGAGGGCTGCAAAGGAGACTAGCGGAGAAACAATGAGGTGGTCCGAGAGAGAGAGCCGTGAGAGGAGGGGAGAAAGAGAGCGATACGAGCGGGGTGAAGAGACGGGAAGAGAAGGAGAAACGGGAAAATGGGATCAGGAGCGCCAAGGCTGGGAAGAGTATGGAGATTATGAGGAAAGACAGAGGTGGGACTTACCGGAAAGAGGAAGGGAGTGGAGGCGCGAGGAGGACAGGCAAGGCAAGAGAGAAGGTGTTCGGTCACCAGAAGTCTCGAGGGCAGCAGAGAAGGAGAGACAGCGAGAGGACAGAGTGCGGCGCAACAGCACAGCCGCGAGTGGAGGTGCCAGTACTCTTCACGGGAAGCGAGAAGACCGGCCCAAGTCTGAAGAATTATTTGATGCAAATCAGCAATGTTAAATACCGATGCGACAGAAGCGGGATGGACCCGATCGAGTTTTTCCTGAGCCTGCCAAGCACGTTGGGAGGGGAAGCAGAGACTTTGTATCGCATGAAGATGGGTGAATGGCTGAGGAGGGCAGAAGAGGATGACGAGGACCCGACGGTACTGTTCCTGGAGCGACTAAGGAAGCAGTTCCCTGGGCATACGGCGGCACGCATTAGGGTTTAGGGTTGCTTCTGCCACGGCGAGACACTGAGCACTGGTAAGTTTTGTCAGTGCTCAGCTTGATTGGCCCGCGGCATTGGATGCTGTTCACGCCTTACTAGATTGAAATGTTTTCCACGAGGGCAGTGTCCACGAGAGCGCGAGTGGGTGCTCGCCCACGTCGGGGTGGTGGTGAAGCGAGTGGGTTAAATCCTGGGGCGAAATGCCTAGGGGCGTGTTGATGCGGAAGTTGTGAAGCCAAGAGGGGAATTGGGTCGCAGCACTGGGGTGGCGTGTAATTAGGGGCTCGAGTGTGGCTTCGTTGGTTGGGCAGAGTGGCGTGGATTCTAGGGCCTGCAGTGCCTTCGCCAAGTTGCCTCGTTTCACCAGTGTGGCGGCTCTGGCAAGCAAGGGTGCCCGTGGTGTCTGCCAGCTGCAGTGGCGACATGAGCGGGGACATGAGGGAGGGTGCTCTCTGACGGGCTCGGTTGTGTTGGCCCAGGCCAGCTGGTGACTGAGCCCTGCTTCTGATTGGGCCAGCTGGTGATTGAGCCCTGCTTCTGATTGGGCCAGCTGGTGATTGAGCCCTGCTTCTGATTGGGCCAGCTGGTGACTGAGCCCTGCTTCTGACTGGGCTGCTATGCACTGCATGGCCCAAATTGAAGCTCCCCTCCCAAATTGGGTTCAGGCAGCATTGGCGCCTCAGGTTTGTTGTTGCAGATCTGGGGACTTCTGAGCCGGGTAATCCGTTCTGGTTTCCCTGGTCTTCAGTGATAGAGCTGGAACTTTCCTCGTCTGTGTGCCTCTGTCTCTCTCTCTCTCTCCTCCTGTTCCCAATTGTCAGATGTGTTTCTCAAGGACTGCCAGAAGGCATGGGGAAAGGCGGTCCAAGGCTGGCCAGTAGGTGCTGACTGTTCCCTCACCCGAGGACTCTTCTGTCTATGCTTCTGTCTCTCCCCTCCTGTTCCCAACTGTCAGGTGTGTTTCTCAAGGACTGCCAGAAGGCATGGGGAAAGGCGGTCCAAGGCTGGGCCGTGGGTGCTGACTGTGTCTCCAACAAAGGGCTCTTGTGTGACTATTCAGGCATGATTGCTTCGATGTAAGTGTGATCACGGCCCGTCTAGGATGGATTAGACTCTGCACAAGCGGCTAGTATCCTGCAGGCTGGTGTTGATTTCTGCCATCATTGGTGGAATTTGCACCGTTTATTCCCAGTGCTGGCTTCACTTGTGTTGTGTCTCCGTCTGGTTTCTGCAACTCCCTCCTTCTTTCAACCCACCCACCCACCCACCCACCCACCCCTGTAGATCTCTCACGGCGAATCTCAATGGGTCTATTCCTGACAGCATCTCCTCTCTCACTTCACTACAAGTTCTGTAAGAACCCCACAGTGAAACTATGAGCTCGGCTTCTATACAGCGGAACTCCAGCGGAATAAGGCAGCTGAGAAGAGAAGCATATTGATATACAGCTAGAGAAGGGCTCGTCGGTAAACGACAGCAACAAAAATCCAACACGGCAGTCACATCTAAACGTTGGTTGTTGCATCCAACAAACGTTTAGTGGTATGAAATCCCAATGCCATTACTGTTCCCCCCTCTCCCCCCCCCCCTCAATACAGATTTCTGCGTCCATCTTGTTTACTTACCCCCTCATTATCTCGCACTTCTCTTGCCTTTTTCTCCTCTGCGTGCTTCTCACAGCTTCCCACCATGCTCGTACAAAAATCTCCCTGGGTTGCTTGTGTTACTTTCTGTGCTGTCCCTCGGTCCATGCACAATGTTTTCATCTCCGCACTTCTGTCGCCTCAATCCCCCCTCCCGCCCCCCTTTCCCCCACACACAGGGATATTCAAAACAGCAATTTGATGGGCTCCATTCCCAACGGCATCTCCAATCTTTTTCAGCTTTACAAACTGTATGAAGGACCTCTTTTCAGGCTGGTAATAAAAACGTGCCTGATCAAAGATCACATGAGTTTCAGAGCCCTCGAGAGGATATCCTTCGTCACATATCCTACATCCCATACGCAACGAAGAAAGATTGGAGTTTCGATTAATCGGATGAACTTACATGGCCATGCAATTGGCAGCCAAGCCAGCCTGAGTAACCTGCAACTCCTCTTCCTGACAGCATCTCCTCTCACACTGCACTAACTGATCCGTAGGAACCTCACCATCTTGTATGCTTGGGTTGCTTGTGCTGCTTGCAGTGCTGTTGCACCCTCTGTCCATGCCCACCATTCTCATCTCCTCACTTCTTTTGCCTCAACCCCCTTGCGCACGCAGGTCTCTTCCAAACAACAATTTGACTGGCTCCATTCCCAACGGCATCTCCAAGCTTTTTTTGCTCGATTCTCTGTACGAAGCACTTTGTTTCACTCTGGTGATAAGATTGAACATGATCAAAGATCACATGAATTTCAAAACCTTCAAGAGAATCTCCTTAGCCATATATCCTAGATGCCACACGCAAGGAAGAAAACAAGGAATTTCAGGTAATCAAAACGTCTATGGCTACGCAATGGCCAGCCAAGCCAGGATGAATGTCTCGCAACCCCTCTTCCTGCCCCCTCCTTCCCCCCTCCCCCCATTCCCCCTCCCCCTCCCCCTCCCCCCCGTCCTCCCAGACCAGGCCTAGGTTTGAGGAGAACCACATTCTTGCTGAACTGGATGTGCGAGTTGAATCGTTAGCCTCAAACCGAACTTCGATTCGTTTTCCTCGACAATACCTCCTGCCATGCTAGTCTCATCCTCCAATTGGGTCCACTGTGTGTGCTCACATATTCCTCCCCAACTCATCCTACGCACGCACAGGGATCTTTCAAACAACAATTTGACGGGATCCATTTCCAGTGGCATACGCTCTCTTTCCAAGCTCACTTATCTGTATGAAATGAAGCTCCTCCTTTGAGCCTGCTGCCAAGCATGCATGGTCAAAGATCAAAGGCAAGCAATAAGACAAGTTTTTTTGGGTGATTGAAACACATATGGCCACTCCTCTTCCTGGGCCCCCGCCTCCCAGCCTTTGTTCAACGAGAACTTTGTCGAACTTGGTGTGTGACTCAACAAGTTCCTGCATGAAACCGTTTGCCTTGAACTGAACTGCGATTCAGTTTTCACTATGTCTATCTCCCAGCATGCTCCTATCATCCCCCAATTAAATCGACCGTCCGTGCTTGCTGTTGCTCACTCCATGCCCACTATTCTCATTTCCTCACTTATTCCTCTCCAACCCATACCATGCACACGCAGGTCTCTTTCAAACAACAGGTTGACGGGCTCCATTCCCAGCACCATATTCACGAACCCTAAGCTCACTTACCTGTATGGTTGACGAACCGAAGTAGGTCCGCGTTAGGCATGGGCACTTGACCCGGACGGGTCGGGTTACCCGACCCGACCCGCCCTTTTGGGCGGGTCGGGTCAGTCATGCCGAGCATGTCGACCCGTCCGGGTCGGGTCGGGTATACCCGGACGGGTCGGGTCGACCCGTGACCCGTCCACGTGATTTTTAGACGGGTATTAGCGACCCGCCGGGTCGGGTTGACCCGTCCCGTCCGGGTCGCGTACCTAGTCAAATGATAGGGTTACCCGACCCGTAATCTGATTAGGGTACAATTTGTAGAGGGGGAGAACGTCAGTTGGTTTCTTATGTTTTGTTTCCCCCTCGACATTCAGATCTAGTCTCTAGCCTACCAAGCCTCTTAGAGCCTTGAACTCAATGTTAACACTATTATATACTTCTAAGTCAGGTTAGGCATAGGCGCTCCCGCCATTTCGCAGCGTCGAACGACCAGGAGCGCAGCAGCGCGCTCGCCGTCAAGCATTGGCGGGATCGCGACCACGAAATAGCGCGATAGCGGCCCCGCATTTGCGCAGCGCGATCGCGGCCCTGCATACGCGCGATCGCGGCCCCGCCTACGCGCGATCGCGGCCCCGCATACGCGCGATCGCGTCGCCGCTTTAGTGCAGGTCAGGGGCGGGCACGCATTGGCGGGATCGGATGCCCGCAATAGAATGAAGCAATTCAAACTTAACACCCATACCCTGCTGCTCTGTAGCAAGTTTTGACCCGACCCGACCCGACCCGTGATGTAACCGACCCGGGTACGGGTCACAAATACCCGTGCCTACGGGGCGGGTCGGGTCATCAAAACAGAGTCAAACCCGACCCGCCGACCAGACCCGTCCCGACCCGTTTTGGTAACGGGTCGCCCTAGACGGGACGGGTCGGGCCGGGTCGGGTCAATTGCCCATGCCTAGTCCGCGTCAAGACCAGCGAGTCAATTTGGCACGCTAGGTCATATTTTAGGCAAAACTTGGTAGTTCGACATTTCGCCAAGATCGTAAGCCACACATGCGCTACGATTATTACCCTTTATGCTAACATTTGGAGTAGCATTGAGTTTAGGTCACCAGTCACGGTAAGCAAGCTCAACTCTTGTGTAGGGTAAGATTGTCAAAATAAGAATTTAGGAGGACATGTGGGGATTGGGAGGGGTTAGGTGATGTGATGTAATACAAATGTTCGAGTGAGGTCAAGGCAAACTAATCCAAGTTTGCTTTATATACTATGCTCGTCTCATCCCCTGGGTCAACTGTGTGCGCTTGCTGTCCCTCCGTCATGCCGGCTATTCTCATCCTCCCACTTGTTCCGCCCCAACCCATACCACGCAAACATAGTTCTCTTTCAAACAACGCTTTGACAGGCTCCATTTCCAGTGACATCAACAATCTGACTCAGCTCTCTTACCTGTATGGAGCTCCTTCTTTCAGCCTGGTGCGAAGCATTCATAATGAAGGACCACATGAACTTAAAACCCTCGACCTCTTTCGCGCCCTCCACAACTTGACGGGCTCCATTCCTATTAGCATCTCCGAGCCTTTTCAGCTCAACTATCTGTATGAAGCACTTTGTTTCAGCCCGGTGCTACACATGAATGATCAAGGCACTTTGTGTAAGTTTGTTATTGGTTAAGACTGGCATTCTGAATCTATAGGTTCTAACATGAAGTTTGAAGCTCTTAAGAGAATATCCTTAGTCACATAACCTAGATGCTACGTGCATGCAAGAAAACAAGGAGTTTCGAGTAATCTGAACGTTTATGGCCTCGCGATTGGCAGCCAAAGCCAGGCTAATTATCAGCAACTCATCTTTCTGACCCCCCCCTCCTAGCCTAAGTTGGTTCATTACGTTACGCGTACACCATTTTACGTTTACATACACGTACGTTTACGCACCACCGGGAATTTGCCTTGATGTACGGGCAGTTAGAACAATTTCTAACACTGCCCGTATTTTCCGTGCACTTGTCTATACAACAATACCATAAAACATGTTTACAACCTCATCCAATCACAATACCGTACGGATCATGTATGCAGGTGTTCCGAAATTTGATTGTTGACGATTGGGAGCTTTCACCAGTTGTGTGTTGTCACATCATTCTAGGTGTCACAAATTGCCTAGGGTCTAGCTTTTGCCTTCATGAGCTGACAAAACTTTCAACCGGAAAAAAGAACGTTCTTTTTATTGCTGTTTCTGAATCTGATGATGCGAGAAACCGAATTTCCCCGTCAGCAATTCCCCCCTCCCATCGTTGTATCTATGTCCTGTCCCAACATTCTACCGTAGATCTAAATAAGACCTAAGATGTCACTAAGCCATTGTTAGACTGGTTTGTGGTTCGCGAGGTCGTTAGCGGCAGGCCAATCCTTTGTGCGAAATAATTAGCATCAGCTTACGATGCGATGTGTGAAATGCGAGGGGGGGAAGCAAACTCAACAACTATACGGCTGCCCGACGTGCGCACGCATAAGTAAACATACGTACACGTAAACATACATCATGTATGATACATATGCACAGCCCGATTTGATATGAATGACCAACTTAGCTCCCAGCCCAGGCCCAGGTTCAACGAGAACCACAAATTCGCCGAACTGGGAGTGCGATTTTATTGAAATATTTGTCGAACCAAATTGCGATGTGGTTTCCTTTGCCTACCTCCATCCATGTTCGTCCCATCCCCCAGTTGGGGCTACCGTGCATGTTTGTTATCATTCGGTCCATGCCCATGAATCTCATCTCTTCACTTATTCCGCCTCAACCCACACCACGCACATGCAGGTCTCTTTCAGACAACGCTTTGACGGGGTCCATTTCAACTACCATTTACTGGCTTCCGCAGCTCACTTATCTGTATAAAGCGCCTCGTTCGAGTCTGGTGCTAAACATTTATGACCTTTAAAACACTTGAAAGAGTATCCCTTTTCAGGTATTTAGACGCCAGACGCAAGCAAGAAAATACGGAATTTCAGGTAATCAGAACGCGTATGGCCACCCAGTCACCAGCAATCCAGCATGTGATGTGCGATTTGAAACGGTTTGGTTAGTTAGTGTTAAATACGAAACCATTTTCCCCAAATCGAACTGCAATACTTATATTCATGCCAACCCAAGGTTAAGAATTACAGTTTTTTTAATATACAGTTTTTTTTTCTTCCTCTTCTTTTTCTTTGCGGCCATCAAAAAGTCCGTTTTTGATACAGTATCTGGCGTTTCTCAATGCTCTTGTTTTGACCGTAAAAGACTGGGTTTTCAGTTTAGATGGATCATGCTCGCACTGTCACAGGCACAGTGGGGGCTGAGCGACCTAGGTTGAGAGCGAGATCACAGATAGCGCGAAGACTAGCTTCCTCCGACAAGATGGAGCGGGCAGCCCGATCGCGGCAAAATCTTTTTCCGAGGTAGCGGCGAAGCTCGCCAAGGTCCTTGCAATGAGGGCGGGCTTGAAGATCTTTATTAATAGCGGTAAGGTCGGCAGAGTCTTCAACGAGCAGCACAAAGCTATATACACCTACGGAAGAATGTAAAGCCAGTGGGCCGGAGGTCTTGATAAAGAGACTGAAAGCGGAAGAGGAAAGTGTTGACGCCAAGAGAATGAAGGTTGGAGGCGAGCTTGGTATGTCAGAACTTAAGCTTAGAATTCATGCATTAGCAATGAGCTTAAAGCTCTTTAAGTACATCCAAGATGGGCAAGCAATGGATGGGGAAGGGAATCAGGGGCAATCTCTAGAGATTGGGGGTAATCCCAATGCAATTTCCAATTGGTGGGTTGGAGATTGCTTGGAGATCACATTTGGGTTTGGTTGGGATGTAAATGTACACCCAACCAAACATTAAGTGCAGATTACACTACTCTAGGATATAGAAAGTACAAATACAATGTGTGAGATTGAGGACTAACACTAACTCATGCAGGGCCTGCTTGAAGCTATATACAAGGCGCTTCAGCTACCACACAGGGTCGAAGAAAGGCATTGGGGACATCCATACAATGGATCTCCCAATTTCAGCGGACACTTAGGTCAAGAAGGAGGCGGAGTGTGGGGAAACGAGCCGTGGGGAAGTAAGTAGCAAAATACTCAATGCCTTCACACTGAGTGAAACTTTCAGCGCAATAACAAGCCTTGAAGTCAAGGTTATCCTCAAGGAGCTTCTTGACATGAAAGGCCCATTCGTCGTTGACAATGGTCAAAGCCAACATAAGAATGAGTACAGGTTAACGCCTCACAATCAGCAATGATGGTGGCCATCCACTCAGTAGCGTGGAAGTTCGACACGGCCCCGGAATAGATCAGGGGTTTGAGAATACCAGCAGTGTCAATGGAGAGAAGAGTGGGAGAATTGTTGATGTCACCGCAGTCATACAGAGGAGAGGAGAAATATGATGACCAGAGAAAAGCTCCTCACAGCGATCTTTTAGAAGATCAAGATTCTGAGGGGAAGAGAGGCAGGCGAAAAGAGCAGAGTGCTGAAATTTGGGCAGCGCGTGGGTCATGGAGTTAGTGAGATGCTGAAAATTGGTTCGGAGAGCGGGAACGGAAGGAAGGGAAGCAAGGGAAGGGGTGGTGAGGGAGAGGGCATGGGATTGGAAGACGAAGAGGCAGGAAGAGGCCGGCGGGGAGTAGAGGAGGGGAGGGAGCAGTAAAGGGTAGCGGATCGAAGTCATACCAACCAATGAAGAGAGGGAGCAGGAGAGGCGGGGGGGAGCGAGGAGTGGAGAGCGAGTCTCATCGAAGATGCTATCCTGGTTGAGAATGAGCTACTAAGAGGAGTGAGCATAAAAAGATGGCCTGGACAGTCGGTGTTGATGCCAACGAACGCATAGAGCTGCGTTTTGGGAACGAGCTTTCCATCTTGACATGTTCGATCAGCCAGATTGACGAGGTCATGGGGTACACAACTTCACATCCGAAGAGAACGGGCAAACGGCTGGCGGCCAGTCAAGAGCTAGAAGCGGGTAATGGTTGCGGAGACTCACTCTACACTGGGAGCTGGACCACAGGAGAAGGCACTGATGGTACGAGTGATCATTGTTAACGGGAATGGAGTGTTAGCCCCGCCCTCGCTTGGGCGACGCCGACGTCCTGGTCGGGTGCACAGGAGAAAGCTGCGGAGATAACTTTAGTAACGGGAACTAGACTGCGGGCTAGGCACGGGTGCTCGTGTGATCTCCGCGTTCTCTGTTCCTTAGTCGTTTTCCTAGTGCACACACTGCTTGCTAGTTCATAAGGCAATTTGGCAAGAGTTTCACTAGAGAAAGTTGACAACAATGGTACAATGAAGTTGGCAAGACAAGACTACATCAGAGCTAGGGTGCAAGCAGGTCGACTGCCAGCGCAGCACGGTCGACCGCGTGCCAGCATGACTTGGTCGACCGCGCTCCAGCAGTGCAGAGACGCGGCTTGCCAACGCTGCAGGTCGACGGCGTGACAACAGCGCAAGTCGACGGCGTGCCAGCGTTGCTCCTGCAGTCCAGCATCGCACCCGCTTCGCAGGTGCTCGTAGATGATTGGCGTGCACTGCTTCGTCACCTGCACAGCGCACACACCAAGTCCACCTCGTGCTGACGACTGCATCTGATGCACCACGTCGACCTCGGGATACCATCACCGAGGTCGTTCTCGCCAAAACCACCTGGGCGACCATCGCAAGCCTTCGCAGCACCTCGTCACCCAGGTAACCTGGTCGACCTTGCAACCAGGTCGACCAGAGGCTCCAGTGCGTGCCCGTCGACCACCCAGGTCGACGACCACTTCCGGTCGACCTCCCAGGTCGACCACTGCCTCTGGTACGTGCCGGTCGACCTCCCAAGTCGACGGCCACCTCCAGTCGACCTCCCCAGGTCGATCACTAACCCCTGGTCGACCAGCTCCAAGTCGACGTCACTCCTGGTCGACCAACCAGAAGGCCTGGTCGACCAACCAGGTCGACCAGAAGGGCTGGTCGACGTCCCAGGTCGACCACCTGAAGTTGGCGCCCTCCCGAAGTCGGCGCCCATGCAGTGGCTCCCCGTGCAGGTCGACCAACCTCGTCGACCAGCCCGCCCACTGCTGCAGGTCGGCTGCACCCCTACACCCGACCACGAAGTCGGATCCGCCCAAGCGAGGACGGGGCCAACACCCAACTCCCGTTGACACTCCCCTGCCGCGTTCACGCTTGGGCCCCCAGCCCACACGGCAGTACCTCTCGGAGAACAGCTCGTCGACGTGCACCCAACACACAGCACGTCGTCCACCGCACCAGCCATGCAGAAGGGCATGGCACCTACTGCTGCACTTCGTCAACTTCGTCGCCCACGTCGGCCAAGCACACCTGGCCGATAGCGACAGAGCACCGGTTGAAAGCCGGATAGTGCAGCGCCTTCGTGAGGAAGTCGGCCGGCTGCTCAGCGGTCGGGATGTATTGCAGCGCAAACTTCCCCCGCTTCACCATGTGCTGCAGCCAGGCCTGTCGCCGCTCCTGTCGTCAACCCCATGCCCTCGGCGACTGTGATGGCCGACTTGTTGTCCACCCGAAGGACGGTCGGCTTCCCAGCATCCAGCTGCTGGAACTCTGCGAGGAGGAAGCGAAGTCGGCGTCCCTCCTTGCCGGCTTCGACGGCCGCCACGTACTCCGACTCGGTCGACGACAGTGTCGCGCACTTGATGCGCTGGCTCGACCAGGAGACCGCGGCCCCTCCGTAGACGAACACGTAGCCGCCCGTGCTCGTCCTGCTCTGCTTGTCACCGGCGTCGTCGGCGTCCACGTAGCCGACCAGCTCCAGCGACTCAGGTCCACCGCCAAACTCAAGGGCGGTGTCGCGCGTGTTGGCGAGGTAGGCGAGGCAGCGGTCGACCTCGCGCCAATGCTGGTCGCTCCTCACCGTGAGGCCGCTCCCCAGCTTGCTGCAGGCGAAGGCGATGTCCGGCCTCGTCGTCGTCGCCGCGAACTGCAGCGAGCCGACCTTCTGCCGGTACTCCTCCTCCTGTCGCTCCTGCGCCTCCTCGTCGTCGAAGGTGAGCTCGGCGTAGGCGTCGACCGAGACCGGCGTCTTCGGAGTCCGTCCGCCCTGCTCCTCGTCGATGAAGCGCCTACGCAGCTTGTCGGCGTAGCCCTGCTGGTGCAGCCACAGCTTCCCCGCCGACCTGTCGCGCACGATCTCCAGCCCGAGGTACTTCTGCACCGGCGAGATCTCGCGCAGCTCGAAGGCGGCCTCCAGTAGCTCCTTCAGCTGCTTCAGCATCTCGGGGCTGCTGCTGGCGGCAAGCAGGTCGTCGACGTAGACCAGCACCCAGCAAGTCGCTCCGTCGTCGCCGACCTTGAAGTAGAGGGCCTCGTCGACCTGGCTCTTCTTCCACCCAGCGCCGACCAGCACGTCGTTGAGCGCCAAGTACCACAGCAGCGGCGACTGCTTCAGCCCGTACAGGCTCTTCAGTAGCTTGCACACCCGGCCGGTTCCGTCGTTGAAGTAGTCCGGCTGGGACATGTACAGCACCCGGTCGAGCTTGCTCTGCAGGAAGGCGTTCTTCATGTCAAGCTGCATCAGGTTGAGGTTGAGCACGGCGACGATGCTGAGGAAGATCCTCAGGGTGACGTAGCTGCCCACCGGCGCAAACGTCTCGTCGTAGTCGGCGCCGTACACCTGCGTGAAGCCCTTCACGACCAGCCTTGCCTTCTCACGCTCGACGGTGTCGTCGATGTGGTACTTCGTCGTCAGCACCCACCGGTTCTTCATCACGTTCACTCCCGGCGGGCGTTCGACCAGCTCCCACGTCCCCATGGCGATGAGACTGCGGATCTCCTCCTCCATGGCGGCCTTCACCGCCGGACCCTTCCAGCTCGCCAACGCCTCCTTCACCGTCATCGTCGAGATG